ATTTTTATCATTATGAGATAACTACAAATTTTTATCATTATGAGGTAACTATAAATTCTTCTCTTATCATTATGGGGTAACTACAAATTCTTATCATTATCATTATGAGGTAACTACAAATTTTTATCATTATGAGGTAACTACAAATTCTCATTTTATCTTTCTCTCATTTTATCTTTTATTCAAATGATACTTGATTGATTGTTATGAATAAAAATATTTTTTTCTTAACTTCCTAGTAACTTTAAACGTTTATCTGAACATTCTTAACGTAGTTAGACAAACTATAATAAATATATTAAATACATAAATTTATTTATTTATATTTTTAATGCATGACTAGCATTTGTTTTTCCCAATGCCATCTTTTTGAGATAAATAAATTTCTAGAGCATACTTACCATTTTGATTCATCGGCACTTAGAAGACAAACCAGAGGCCGATTGATGAACATAATCTAGTGGTATCATGTCATCTCTGTTAAATGGTTTGTTATGGAAGGAGGTACCTTTTTCAACTATTATGTTTGATAGAATTTGTAAATTTTTAGATTAGTTTGTTTTGTTTTGAAGAGGAAAAGCTACGGGAGTAGAGAGAGCTGTGGACTTTCTTCTTTGTTGGTCACTTTCTTTCAAAACCCTCTCCCTTACCATAGAGGTCATCTGATTTGTTGTTAATGTCGTTTGAATCTCCTCCCATGGATATCAATATTATATAAGGCCTCTTTTGTTTTTGCTTTTTCTCGAAAGAGAAATGCACTTAATATTTTACCCGAAAGGACCCTCAAATATTAGAGGAGATATCCTATAATGTTAATTACAATTCTATCATTCAGGCATCCTCTAGAGATATAATTAGAATTGTTTAGGAAAACTTAAAGATATTTATAGTAGCATACAAAAGAGAATTAACCATGTTGAAACTAGAGAGGTTGAGGTCCACTCTAGTGTCATGTAATCGATACCCTAATGTCATGTGATCGACTCCTCGACACTATGTGGCCGATAGTTCAACACCATATTTCTAACACTATGGCATCATATGGTCAACATAGTATTATTCCTTAGGGGCTACAATTATCTCGATCATTGTATATTCTCCAAATTCGATATGACATACTACTCATGATTAGGAAAGACGCATAATCATTTTGATATTAACACATAATTTCAACATGTAACTATTTTAATATTAATGCATGACTTTAAGAGTAATGATGATGAAATCTTACTATAAAAGGTGTCTCAAGTGCGTTTCCCAACTCTATTCGATACTCTCAACTTATCATTATCATTATGAGGTAACTACATATTCTTCTCTTATCATTACGAGGTAGCTATAAATTCTTATCATTATCATTATGAGGTAACTACAAATTCTTCTCTTATCATTATGAGGTAACTACAAACTCTCATTTTATCTTTCATCGAAATGATACTTGATTGATTGTCATGAATAAAAATATTTTTTCTTAACTTTCCTAGTAACTTTAAACGTTTATCTCAACATTCTTAACATAGTCAGACAAACTATTATAAATATATTAAATACATAAATTCATTTATTTATATTTTTAATGCATGTCTAGCATTTTTTTTTTCCCAACGCCATCTTTTTGAGATAAATAAATTCATAGGGCATACTTACCCTTCCGATTCATCAACACTTAGAAAACAAACCAGAGGGTGATTGATGAACAGAATCTCATGGTGTCAAGTCATCTTTGTTAAATGGTTTGCTATAAAATGAGGTACCATTTTCAACTACTATGATAGAATTTGTAAATTTTTTTATTAGTTTGTTTAGTTTTGAAGAGGAAAAGTTACGGGAGTAGAGAGAGCTATGGACTTTCTTCTTTGTTGGTCACTTCCTTAGAAAACCCTCTCCCTTACCATAGAGGTCATTTAATTTGTTGTTAATGTCGTTTGAATCTCCTCCAATGGATATCAACATTATATAAGGTCTCTTCTGTTTTTGCTTTTTCTCGAAAGAGAAATGCACTTAATATTTTACCCGAAGGTCCCTCAAATATTAGAGGAGATATCCTATAATGTTAATGACAATTCTATCATTCAGGCATCCTCTAGAGATATAATTAAAATTATTTAGGAAAACTTAAAAATATTTATAGCAGCATGCGAGAGAGAATTAACCATATTGAGACTAAAGAGGTTGAGGTCCACTCTAGTGTCATGTGATCAATACTCTAATATCATATGATCGACACCTCGACATTATGTGGTCGATAGTTCGACACCATATTTCAAACACTATGGCATTATATGGTCAACACAGTGTTATTCCCTAGGTGTTACAATTATCTTCACGATCATTGCACATTCTCCAAATTTAATGTAACATGCCACTCATGATTAGGAAAGATGCGTAACCACTTTCATATTAACACATAATTTCAATGTGTAACTATTCTAATATTAATGCATGACTTCGAGAGTAATGATGATGAAATCTTACTATAAAAGGTGTCTCAAGTGTGTTTTCCAACTCTATCCGATACTCTCAACTTATCATTATCATTATGAGGTAACTACAAATTCTTCTATTATTATTATGAGATAGCTATAAACTCTTATTTTATCTTTCTCTCTCATTTCGAATTAATACTTGATTGATTGTCATGAATAAAAATATTTTTTTCTTAATTTGCCTAGTAACTTTAGACGTTTATCTCAACATTCTTAACACAGTTGGACAAACTATTATAAATATATTAAATACATAAATTCATTTATTTACATTTTTAATGCATGTCTAGTATTTTTTTTCCCAATACCATCTTTTTAAGATAAATAAATTCCTAGGGTATACTTACCCTTCCGATTCATCGGCACTTCGAAGACAAACCAGAGGCCGATTGATGAATAGAATCTCGTGATGTCATATGATATCTGTTAAATAGTTTGGTATGGAATGAGGTACCTTTTTCAACCCTACTATGTTTGATAGAATCTGTAAATTTTTAAATTAGTTTATTTTGTTTTAAAGAGAAAAAGCTACTAGAGTAGAGAGAGTCGTGGACTTTATTCTTTGTTGGTCACTTCCTTAGAAAACCCTCTCATTTACCTTAGAGGTCATCTAATTTGTTATTAATTTCATTTGAATTTCCTCCCATGGATATTGACATGGCATAAAGTCTCTTTTGTTTTTGCTTTTTCTTGAAAGAGAAATGCACTTAATATTTTACTCGAAGGTCCCTCGAATATTAGAGAAGATATCCTATAATGTTAATGATAATTCTATCGTTCAAGAATCCTCTAGAGATATAATTAGAATTGTTTAAGAAAACTTAAAGATATTTATAGTACCATGCAAGAGAGAATAAACCATGTTGAAACTAGAGAGGTTGAGGTCCACTCTATTGACATATGATCGACTCCTCGACACTATGTGGCCGATAGTCCGACACCATATTTCTAACACTATGACATCATATGGTCAACACAGTGTCATTCCTTAAGCATTACAATTGTCTCCACGATCATTGTACATTCTCCAAATTTGATGTGACACACCACTCATGATTAGGAAAGACGCACAACCATTTTGATATTAACACATAATTTCAACGTGTAACTATTCTAATATTAATGCATGACTTCGAGAGTAATGATGATGAAATCTTACTATAAAAGGTGTCTTAAGTGTGTTTCCCAACTCTATTCGATACTCTCAACTTATCATTATCATTATGAGGTAACTATAAATTCTTCTCTTATCATTATGAGATAACTTCAAATTCTTATCATTATGGATAACTACAAATTCTTCTCTTATCATTATCATTATGAGGTAACTATAAATTCTTATTTTATCTTTCATCGAAATGACATTTGATTGATTGTTATGAATAAAAATATTTTTTTCTTCACTATCCTAGTAACTTTAAACATTTATCTCAACATTCTTAACACAATTGAATAAACTATTATAATTATATTAAATACATAAATTCATCGATTTACATTTTTAATGCATAACTAGCATTTTTTTCCCAATATCATCTTTTTGAGATAAATAAATTCCTAGGGCATACTTACCCTTCTGATTTATCGGCACTTCAAAGACAAACCAGAAGCCGATTGATGAACAGAATCTCGTGGTATCATGTCATCTTTGTTAAATGGTTTGCTATGGAAGAAGGTACCTTTTTCAACCCTACTATATTTGATAGAATATGTAAATTTCAGATTAGTTTATTTTGTTTTAACGAGAAAAAGCTATGAGAGTAGAGAGAGCCGTGGACTTTATTCCTTATTGGTCACTTCCTTAGAAAACCTTCTCCCTTAATGTCATTTAATTTGTTGTTAATTTTGTTTGAATCTCCTCTCATGACTATTGACATGACAAAATGTCTCTTCTATTTTTTTTTTCCTCGAAAGAGAAATGCTCTTAATATTTGACTCGAAGGTCCCTCGAATATTAGAGGAGATATCCTATCTTCTATTTTTGTTTTTCCTCGAAAGAGAAATGCCCTTAATATTTGACTCGAAGGTCCCTCGAATATTAGAGGAGATATCCTATAGTGTTAATGACAATTCTATGATTCAGGCATCCTCTAGAGATATAATTAGAATTGTTTAGGAAAACTTAAAGATATTTATAGTAGCATGCAAGAGAGAATTAACCATGTTAAAACTAAAGAGGTTGAGGTCCACTCTAATGTCATGTGATCGACACCCCAATATTAACACAGTGTCATTCCTTATGCATTACAATTGTCCCCACAATCATTGTACAGTTCTCCAAATTCGATGTGACATGCCACTCATGATTAGGAAAGACACTATCATTTTGATATTAACACATAATTTCAACGTATAATTATTCTAATATTAATACACAAATTCGAGAGTAATGATCCTGAAATCTTACTCTCAAGTCTTAATACATTTGGCTCTAAGAGACTTGATAAATTAGTCAATACCTTAGACTAGCTTAAGCATAAGCATCTTATGGACTTTATCAGATACATCTCGATATAATTTTGTAGAGTTTGATATAATGTGAATCAAGTGGGTTCAGTGTTTTCCGACACTAGTAAAAGATAAGCATGGAATAGAACCTCGGTTGTTTCTGATTTCACATCCCACTCAAATACCTAGAATTTACAATATTTAAAATATGTTTGGGACACTATGATTGCCCTTTCAAGGCTTCCGGTTTCTATGTTGGATAGCATTGTTCAACAAACTCAGCTGAAACTGGATAATTGGATTAGATATTGTATCTCAACCAGGCCGGGAGAACTACCCTCATCAGTTTGTCTTGCATGCCTAAGAGATTACCCCATGGATACTAGATAGATAACTTAAGCATTCAGCACATCGTAGTCATCCAATCTCTCATTATACTCCATCACCTTCCTCTTGATCTTGGAAGAATCCACCCAGGTCACAAAGTCCTCCATGTTCCTTGTCACGAGAAATGCCGGATCTGTCACCACATCTGGCCCTACCCGGACGTGGCCTTGTTCGATGTATGTTACAGCCTCCCTTAGATGCTCAGCAAACTTTAGGTACACCAAAACAGTAGCCAGCCTGCGTCTGCAACAACAGAACTGCCTTTAGCTGCGCAAATGTGGTTCTTCTCAACTGAAATAACATGAGAAATTAGCTCACGTGTTGAGAACATGTGAGCTACAATTGATGAAACCTAAACATCCACCAATGAGAAACAGCTATAGCATAGTTATTATGAGGTTTATCTCATTGAAAGGTATTGATAAGCCAAGCTACCTCATCTACATCCACAGTCCCAGATTGATTGGGTATGAGATGGGAACTCAGGTGTGCCCAATTCGTAAATGTTATTGTGTGTGTGTGTGTGTGTGTTTGTAAACTCAAACCAGTCCAATTTGTAGAATAGAAAGCTTCCATACTGATTTCAAGTTAAAACGTGATGTATACCTACAGAAGGAACTAACTGAGAGTTTGTCACACTTGGCCAAGCTCTTTTTTGTTGAGATTACACCCATATTATAACTGCAGCACACGAAACAATTTAGATTAATCAAAATGTAAATAATCGAATTTGTTAGACCAATTCCACAAAAGCACAGAAGTATGATAAACACAATCCTAAAGAAAGCATAAATTGTAGCCAAAGTAAACCATGAAATACAATATATTAGTTGTAAATAGGATGGCATTTGATTACTAAGATGAAACATGCCCTACATATTGCCTTGAATTGCTGTCTTTAGTGAACCCAAATAATACATCACAAACTATAGTCATCAATTGTTACTTCCTAGTTTTCATCTTATAATACAAAGTCTTTTATTATTCTTAATAACCAAGAATGCCCCCCAAGTCAACTCTTTCCTTGAAGGAGATAAACAACTATACAGATTCTAGGCCCTGGAAAGTTCTGTTGGCCAATATAGGTTGGCAATAATTTTTACATCTTAGTTGTAGAAAAAGTCAAACTAAATTCTTTTTATTTTCGGATCAAACTGAATTATGATCTCATTAAACTAAAAAACTAACCCGAGTCACCTCACAGATGATGTCTATACCATTTAAACTCCAGGATTAATCTTCTCCCTTTAATTATTTATTCAAATAATTACCATCACCACATGACAGTACCTAGTTGCCGAATATGTTCCTCTAAGAGTGAAAGTGGGTTGGACAATGTCCATCAAATTTACCTCCATATTCCAATAGCATCAGAAAACGTCACAAACATGTGTTGTCACATAACCATAATAATATCCAAATTTTGCTTTCTAAACTTTCCAGATATTAATCCACAAATGAGTTAAACTCTATACATATCCAGATATCTGAATCTCTAAATATACCTTTTAAAACTGTCTATTTAACTGATACAGAAGTTGGCTATTTGACCAGTTTATGTAAAAGCATTTTGCTTTTTTTTCTTATTCTTCTTTTTACCCCAACATATGCCTTTTGGTGTTCCTATCCAAGGAACATCAATGAGAATTGTTGCTTAAATAATGAGTGATACTCCTATCAAATTCATGGAATAGCCATATCTGCATCACTCTAGATGTATCCTGAATCCAAGTCTACATATGTACAATTCATGTTCACATTCATTTTTTATTTGAACAATTATGGTTTCGACATTTAGCATCTGAATCCACATCGATATTCATGTCAACTGGTACATGTCAATACATATCTGCTTTCCTGATATCCAATCAATGTCCAGTCTGATTTCCCCCTAGCTAATGGCATCACATTAAATACATATTCGAGCAAAGAGAGCTCATCTGTGTCTAAAACCTCAAAAATTTTGGGCTCTTGATCAGAGCACAAGTATATACCATAATTACTAGCATCAACCAAATATGAATGTTAGGTTATGCAATAAGTGGACAATATAAGGTTGATGAGAGTAAATTAAAGCTGGCACATGGATTCAACAACAAATCCAGACATGACAGCCAGTTCAGGAACCTTGAGAAGATCACATTTGACCTCAGATTCCTTGAATATAACAGGTCAAAAAACCCCATATAAAGAGGGCCTCTCTACCACCAGTATGGGATTTAGAAAGTGATACCACAGATTCCTTCTCACTCTATACTTCATTCAGCTGTTAACTTGAACATCTGATAAGCCCCATCAAAGATTGCCTCGATCCCTTTCTTGGCTGTCTTCAATGATGCAGGCAAAATCTGTCACCTAGACTTGTACTCATCCATTTCAGAAGTCATTTGTATGTGGATTAACAGCACCAACTTACATGGTTCATGGCATTGACTATGATAGAATTCTATCTCAGCCTCCTCAAATTCACCAGTGAAACCACTAGAATTATACTGAGAGCTGATCGATATCAACCAGATTGGATCTTGCAGAAAAATGACAAGATCAGCAGAGAAAGAAAAAAGAAAGAAGGGATAGGAAGAAGAGGAGTTCTAGATTCCGTAGAGAGAAAAAAAAACATTCTAAAACATGTCAGAAAAAAGTTTGTGCGTGAGTTATTATCACTTGATCAGCATATGAACATTATCCAGTCTCATAGGATGGAGAAACTGATTCTCCAAAAAAAAAGATGAGGCACTAACAAGGTAATAGCTTTCTCCTCTTGAGTAGAATTGATATGACATTCAGTCTGCAACAATCAGAAACCACTCAACGATTCTTCTAAGAAGAATTTCTAAGAAGCAATTTTAACAACAAGCAATTGACACAACTGAGAGTAGGAAGCATCTATTTATTTTATTCATAGGAAAAAGCAAGCACAATATATAAGTAGAACCCTGCTGATATGTAAAGTGCATCATACAGAATACCAATCAAAAGCTTTCATGTTTGGATACCTATAATCACAGTCCTAACGAAGCTTTTAGTCTCCAACTGCAGAAGGCTTTATGAGAGGACAGCCTTCTGAGAGGACCAAAAAGACATGCAATAACAAGTTGATCACTTACACATACAGTCAATTCTAGCAAAGAAAAAAACTCACAATGAGCATTGAAGCAAATCATGAAGAACCCACTTTCCAAAATTACCAATTCATAGAACTTCTACGAGGAAGACAAATTAATCATAGCATCTTAAACAAAGAAAAGGCTCGGTCATCTAATGGACTTACAGCTTTTCCAGCAGGGCATCTGTCGTCTCGATACGGAAAGGGTCTCTGGGATCCATTTGCTTCAAGACGTGCACTAGCTTCTGCACCATCCTGCATATACTCGAATACCTAACAATCGAAAAAAGAAAACTCCTATAAATATCAACCAAAAGAGCAACCTTGCTGCCAAAAATTAAGGGAGAGGAAAGTGAACAATATACTTCTTGTAGTCATCTCTCTCGGTGAGGTGGTAACGGCGCGTGACGAGGGCTTCTCGGTGGCCGCCCTCGCGTTTGTACTCGATGAAATTGACCTTCTTGAGGAGCTTTTTCTCGTGGAACTTCAACTTCCTCATCTTTGCTCACTGCTCCGATGGATCAAATGAAGAAGAAACGAAACCTTCAAGTCCCGATCACACCTTTCAAACTGCGAAGTGAACAAGGGAGGCGCAAGAAAGAACGATGTTTAGGAGAGTCCCATCCGATTCAATGAGTTGATTTGTTTACAGTTCAATACTAATCATGCAGGATTTCTTTCGGTGGCATACTGAGCTTTTAGCGACTTCTAACAGAGGAGGAACAGGATGGTGGTGAGCGCCGCCGTTGAGGGTGGCGGCGGAAGACGGTTGGGCTGTGAGCGGACCGCAGTGAGCAGGATTTAGGGCACAGAGGACACGGAGGGAGCCGACGAGGTCGGGGCTCGTTATAACTTATTTATTTTATTTATCTATTTTTATAACAAGTGACTACTTTTCTAAAAAATATTCATATTTTACAATTTTTTCAAAAAAATCCCTTTTATTTTTTTCAAGCAATAATTTTAATTTTAAAAATATCTAAAATGTCCTTCAAAAATTTTCTCGTTAAATTTTTATAATCTTTTTTATTAGTTTTCAACTGTTATAGTGTTTTCACGTTTATAGTATTTTTCAATAGTATTTATAGTATTTTATTAAGATATTAAAATATTATAAATATTATTAAAAAATACTATACATGACAGGATATTATGTCCTTTTAGTAACCATTAATCATAGACTATTACCATACTATATTTTTAGATTTATGATTGATTCAGTTTAGATTTAAAGTCTATTTAAATCTTTTACTATGTTTTCCAGTAAGATCTTATAATATTTTTATTATGATAGTCGTATTTTTTAAATTTAAGATATTATTTTTAAGCAGTACTAGTTGTTTTTTTAGGGAAATCCTCTATTCTGTTGAGAAAAATCTTTTCTCCTAATCTGTATAAATTGGAGAGAGACATGTTAATGTATTCAAGCTAAAACTACTTCAATAAAGCTTCTTCAATAATTTTTCTTATCTTTTATTCTTTTCAACAATAAAGACTAACAAAATTTAAGAAATAAGAGCTTAGGAGTAAAAGTTAATAAAGGAGGCCAGCATATTATCTTGCCAACCCTCGTCTAGTTTGATTTCAACAAACGAGAAAAACCTAATAAATGAGACATAATCAACCTAATAAATGAGACATAATCATTCAGAGCTCTGAGTCTAGATTAAGGAGTTGGCAAAGGGTAGCATACTAGTCCGCCAAGAGGGAAAGAATAGAGTTAGTGTCTAAGCAATCAAGAGAGCCATTGGTTTTGATGAGCCAAATCTAATTTTTCCATCTTCTAAGGGAGCACATGTTCTAAAAATATCTAATGCTTTTATTCTCCTCATTGATCCATTGAGCTTTTGATCTAGTCTACCATCTAATATGTCATTGCCTATTAAGGGCAAACAGCTTATTGGATAGACTTTGCAACTTTCGATCAGGGAGGAGTGAAATTGTGTTTAATAGATGATTTGAAATCATTATGAAGAAGCCAATGGAGATCAAATTTAAAATGTATAAGGTTTTTCTTAATCTTTCTAGGAAAGTGACCAAATCCAATAGAGAGAGGAGAGTGATCGGAAGCTACACTCACATTAGAGCACCATCAATTGATTCAGTTACATTTGTTGGTCACAAACTCTTGGTGACCATGAGTAAGTAATTTCTCAGATCAGACATTTGGTTCATTAGCCTTCTCCAACCTAATCTTCTTTAAAGATGAAAGCAACACTACTTATGCAGCAAATGACGTGCATGGGAGTCTCAACAGGCATGCACAACATGATCGTCTTCGACTCGTTCCTCGGAGTTGTGGTGGCGTGGAACATGCATGGCATGTTCATTCTTTGGTACAGCTTAGTTCCGAGAGCCACGCAGCTCGTGGACGGCGTCCATGATGGCCTCGGTGGTGACGGCGCGCGGAGGTGGGGGGCGCGGGTGCTGAAGGCAGTCGACAAGCCGCCGGGCGAAGTTGAAGGCCGGCTTGAACCGGAGGACACAGATGGCGATCTGTCCGATCACTCCGCTGGTGCATGCGAGTATGGTGAGAGGCTCCATGTCGAGATCAGGAAGGACAGTAGGAGGAGGAGGAGGAGGAGGAGGACGGGGAGGCCTGAGAGATGAATGGAAAGCAGTGGCTCATTTATAGAGTTTGTGCCGTGCCTAACATCCACGTATGTAATGGTCGAGAGGTATTGTAAGCAAACAAACAAGCTTGCATCAAATAATGTTACTAGGTTGTGAATTCTGTTGTGTTTTCCTCTATTTACTTGTGTAGTTTTGCTTTTCTAATTCAAGAAAATGATTTTTTGTTAATTATTCATACGATGTGAATTCTTTATATTGGATAGAAAAAATAGAATCTTAATTAATAGGGTTCGGATTCAGATCAGAAAAAAAACAGTATTTCTTTCCAACCAATAAATAGCTATAAAGCTTAGCAATATAATAAGACAAATTGAAATATCATCTGCTTATTGGAATGAATATTATAATGGTGATGTAGCAAAAATGGGTATTAGATAAAAGATGGATCCTAAAATTCTAAGGATGATGTTTGGTTTTGGAACCTCAAATTTGTTCATTTAAAAAAAGAAGGAAAAGAATATGATAATAAACATTGGTGAGTTGTAAATGTTTTCAAGCATTTTTACCTTTTTCTTTTCTAATAGTTACAACAAAAAATATCTACAATAAAATAAATTAAATCCAACATAAAAAATGACAAGTAAAAGGATCATTCAACCTATAAGAGTGTCAAGAAATAGAACAAAAAGAAGAGATGTTTCTAATAACATCCAAATAATTTTTTGTATATTTGTCTTGTAAATAGCATATATAGTCACACATACAACTAAAAATTTAGGTGCGAGTTAAATGCAATGCATAATAATGTAGACTGGTTTTAGGGTTATTGGTGATTTGCAAAAGCCAAAATATTAAGTGGGGAGAGGGATTAAGACATGTTTGCAAGCTCACCTTTGTCGTAGGAGCAGTTCAGTTCATGTCACCCTTTCAGCATGGATGGACTGTGTGTTGGTAGTGTTGTCACCTTGACAAAACTTTGTGCTCATTGGAGTCTTGTGAGTTCGACTTGGATTGTTGAGAGAGAATAAAAAGATGAGAAGAAGAAGAGCCCCAAAAGCTCAACTCAAGATCGACCAAGAAAAACGTTAATTCACTGTTCATGCAGAAAAGTAACGATCCTAATAAATGAGAAAACCATTTCAAATATTATTGCACAAACAGAACATGTAAAACTAGGTATTTGTAACTGTTAATCAGATAATTTTGAGAGCATTAAATTTAGGGTTAGTGGGAAACCCAACTTCAAATCATGTTATGTCTTGGGATCATATATAATCTTGAACTTATGATGATTTCTAGTTCTTACTTTTTTTAATATTGTTGTCTTACAAAATATAATTGTTTAACTTATTAAAAAATCCTCAGTAATTCCTTTTTTTGATTCTTTGAATGATTCTCCATGACTAAACTAAAAACTATTTTTATTCATGTAATTTTGTTTTTTCCTGAATCATTTTCATATTGGAAAATTTTTATCATAAATTTCCTTTTCATTCAAGCCAAATTATGCATCAGAATAACATAGGCTATATATTGGGATATTAGCCTTCTTTATTTATTGTAAATATAATTGAGATATTAGGGTTGGTAAAATGATTTTACATTTCTTAACAGGTTCCGGGTTACTTGAGAAACCAAGTTATGGCGTTGGTGCAGACAAGTGTAGGAGAAAAAATAATTTATTTTTTCTCAGGTATGAAAAAAAAAAATCCTTTAATATAAAGGATTTTTTTCTATGTAAATATCATCTCAAATTTATATGCATCTAGTGTTTCCTCTAATACATAAATTTCTGTAGAGTTTTATGTTAGAAATTGTTTAGATTTGGATTAATTTAAGATTTTTATTCTTTATTTTTGTTATGTTTACATGGTAAATGATTTAAAATTTTTAAGAAGATAAAAGGAGTAAAATTATCACGACTCGAGCTTGATGGGTTAACTAGCCTATCAACTTCGTTTGGTCTAATCCACTGACCAAAATGCTTAAGCTGAAGTTGATAGTAGTACACTCATCAGACTCTTATAAGTCAATTTTAATCCTGCCCACTTTCGATGTGGGACTAAGCTGAAGTTGATAGTAGTGCACTCAAAGGCTTGATGTCCTCATCAAGCCCCAACATAACCCAGATCAAACCCTAGCATAGTGCATGTGAGGCGTAGCCCAATGGTGGCTCCACGCCGTGACGAGTCCTCTGACTCCGTCTACGGGTAGCCCTTTCCTACTCGAGCCCCCTCACCATGCCCAAATGCTAGGTCGGCTCTGATACCAAATATCATGACTCGAGCCTGATGGGCTAACTAGCCTATCAACTTCGTTTGGTCTAATCCACTGACCAAAATACTTAAGCTGAAGTTGATAGTAGTACACTCATCAGACTCTTATAAGTCAATCTTAATCCTGCCCATGTGCACGTGCGCGTGTATATATATATATATATATATATATATGTGTGTGTGTGTGTGCGCGCGCGCGCGTGTATATATATATGTATTCTCTTTGCTATGATTTATATGAACCAAATCAAACAGCCCTGATGTAACAACTTAGTTTATCCTTCTTATACGGTCTATGTTGCTTGTTTGTCATAAAGTAGGTCACAACTACGACACAGTGAGTTCACCATGGCAGCTCGACCAGGCGTCCGTTCCTTCCTGCAAGTTATATTGCAGCGATCTACAGTTCATCGTGCTCTTCGAAAAGAAGAGCCGTGACAGGTCAATGAAACGTGAGCTGGGGCTGCGTGCACACCACCACCACCGACGAGTGAACGCGTGCCCGCGAGAAGTCCGCCGCCTCCAGCACTTTGCTCACCAACAGTTTCCACTTCACCTCGTCCTTCTTGCTCTGCTGCCTCAACCTCTCCTTGAAATGCCTGCAACCGCGAGCCGTAAGCATGGAAGGAGGAGTCCTCTAAAGGAATGGACCGATGACCATGAATGGGTTACCTACTACCTGCAAAGTGGGACTTTGCACCCGTCCACCTGCGAGCACAGCCGCGAGTGGAGCTCGAGAAGCTGCCACATCCTCTTGCAGTGGGTGCAGCCACCGAGCACTCGGTTCTTGCAGCCGGCGAAGTGGCGGACCAACGCTTCTAGGCCTTTGCAGGCGGGGAAGTTGCAGGGCGCCGCGTTCTGCTTCAGAACCTTGTCGTGAGGCCCGATGGTGCGGCACCCGTCCCTGCAGATGTGGACCAGCGCCTCCATCGCTTCGTGCAGCTGCAGGTAGATCTTCCTCTCCTCTATCTTCCTCACTCTCTCG